GGTCCTGGTTCCTGTCCTGCTGAATGAGCAGCTTATGTAGCACTTCATGGAAACATTCTCTTCTTCCCTGCAGTACAACACCACCATTGACTGGTCATCTCTGACAACAAAGGAGTGTTTGAAATATGGAGGACAACTTGTGGGCAACAATTGCGAATATGTCCCTGACATCACCCTCATGTCTTTCATCCTCTTTTTTGGCACTTACACCTGCTCCATGGCCCTGAAGAAATTCAAGACCAGTCGCTATTTTCCGACCACTGTAAGTGTCTCCTTTCACCCTCGCAGTCTGGTTCTTCACTCTTCTAGAGTGCAAAGGTCATACTTCCTTTTGGTTTTGTCACACACACATTTAGAGGGACAAGTGCAGGAAGGGCAGATTGCATTGGTTTGAGATGAAAATATGGAACTGGTTACCCAAGGTGTATCTGAGAGAGCTGTCACTCTCCCAGTGCTTCTGGAGAGCATGGGTAAGGCAACCAACGAGCCAAAATGAGACATAATCTATCACAGGGTTGTGGCAGTGATTTTAAAGGTGGTGGACATATCACTTCAGAGCTGAGATGCACAGTGATGTGACTTACCAGCCTTAGAAGAGTCCTTCAGGTGTGTGTAGTTTCAGCTGGCCATTTTCAGCATTAGACACAAAGCTTATGTCATGCCTTGACTCTGGGGTAGGGTGATTGAACAGAAATCAAACTACCAAAAGGGGCTATTAATGGTTATGTCAGAGATCTCCCTGCTTAGAGCCAGCGAGAGTGTTTGAGGAGGACAAAAGAAGCCCTTTGCTTTGTCACTGAGCAAAAGCGAGCTGTCCATATAGAACAGGAGAACAGAGACACATCTTTGATCTTCTCACATAACATTTTAAATACTCGGAGATCAATGCAAAAAATGTTGAATTCGGCTGCAGTCCATCCCTGGTCGACCTGTTACAATGAGGACCTGAGGCAGAAATTCCCTTTCTTCTCCAAGCGTGCAAAATAAGGGCGACCTGAAAAACCTCTGCATTGGCCTAAAACCAAGCTTTTGCTCGGACTTAGAGCCAGCTTACAGGCACCTCTCAGGTGCATCTGCTTGTTTTGTCTCTCCAGCCGAAGTCTCCATGACAGGCGTGCGAGCTGGCGGTTTCCATGTGTACCAAAGGTCTCCGTGAGGCCTCCCCCACTGTTGTTGGCATTCTGACATGCAGGGATTTATCCTGCATGGATGTTTACTGTTCTGCTGTGTTCCAATTGAACCTCTAGTATTTTTAATAAAAAGGAAACAAATTCCATCCAGGCTGGAATGCAGGTTTATCTGTGACCATGCGAACCCAGGAAACCTGTAAGGATCAACAGGTCTGAGAAGATCACACAGCTACAGACAAGTACAGTGGGTCCTGCCCACTTAAAATTTTTGGGGTCTGACCAGTGACAGCTTTAAGTTGTGTATTCCAGTGACTCTTAGGGCATGTTGAAGTTTGTTTTTCTGGCTTTTTAGGTCAGTTTATTACTTGGGCAGAAAACAATGTAAGCTCTGCCCATCACACAGAACAGCTTCTCTGTCATGAAAGTTTGGGTCTTCCCATCTTCTAATGTTTGTGACTGTTTCTGTTGTCCAGTGTAAAATACCATTTCTTCCTTCCCATTTTTTTCATCCACATTGCAAAACCAGTCATATTAAAAGAGCAGAGTCTGGGGAGAACACAGTATATTTTGTTAAAGCCACATACCTTAGGAGTCCTGTGGTAACTCAAGAAGCTTTGGCCCTGCCCAGAGACACATGAGTATGTGGATCCTCGAGAATCAGAGATCAGAAAGAGACAATATTTTATATGTCAGAGAAAGTCACTGTTTTTTCAGATTTATTTGTACATGTTCAGTACCTGCTGACACTAGAAGCTGGTCTGGAGAAGTGTGTGCAGACGGTGCTGTGGAGGAGCTAGGTCTCCATGACAGAGGTTGATGGCTGCTCTCAGATGCCTCAAAACATTCATGTGGGAGTTTCTTACAAAAGCAATTTTATTTTTCCTTAGGCTTGTTTTCCTGCTTCCATTCAGGCTTAATTGTTTGGCTTTCAGTCCAGGCCATAAAGTCCCGAAGGCACCAGGCATGACAATGCTCACCTTTGTTTCCGCAAAAGAAGAGATGATGAGCTTGTAATGCCACCAAACCTGAGCCTGGAGCGTCTCCTAGAAACTAAAGCATGGGTGAAATGGAGTTTCATAGTGCTAACTACTGTTGTGATGTCCACTTCTCTTTCAGGCCCGGAAGCTTATCAGTGACTTTGCCATTATCTTGTCCATTTTGATTTTCTGTGGGATAGATGCCCTTGTAGGTGTGGACACACCAAAACTAATTGTGCCAAGTGAATTCAAGGTACGTCTCATTGTCAGCTTGTTGTCAGCCTTTGGAAGAGGTTCCTTTCTCCACCCATCTGCCCTCTATAAGTTGACTTGCCCTCAAAACAAGAGAGTAGTTAGCTCTCTGGAAATGGACCATTTTGCTCAGATGGTATCTTGTCTATTAGCATAATTTTGGTTGGCTGATTTATCTTCTAAATCCTACCTCCGTACTTTAAACCTTTTGTTGCTGTTATAATGGGAAGGGTGAAATTGTTGCAAGCCTTCAGTGTCTCCGTGTAGCCCCATTGGTGGAAGTATTTAGGACGTCATCACTCCTATACTGCAGCTCTAACATAAGCTTTCTTCTCCTTACCCTTAAAAGCCAACCAGTCCCGAGAGGGGTTGGTTTATCCCACCTTTTGGAGGGAACCCGTGGTGGGTCTACCTAGCAGCAGCTATCCCTGCACTGCTAGTGACTATCCTCATCTTCATGGACCAGCAGATCACAGCCGTCATCGTCAACAGGAAGGAGCACAAGCTGAAGGTGGGTGTGCTTGGCGTGATTCTTCTGTGTTGAGATGGAGGGGGGCCCGTGGCAGGGTTGAACATACGTGCCACCTCAGAAACATCACTGCTGGTGTTCAATGGCAATGTTTGTTTTGTTGGCTAGCGTAGAGGTTTTGCCAGGAAAACCACAGACACGGTTGAAAATCTTGAGCATTGCACAAACAGCTGAAGCAAGACGCCTGTGAGGGGCCAGCTCACAGTGTCTCCTTCAGTAAGCACTGTCTGAGTTGGGTTGGCTTCACCATCCTGTGGCATGGAGCATTCCCACATGAGAAGCTTTGGGATTGCTTCTCTCTTTTCCTTTGCAATCAGGCCCCATGCCAGGAGTAGTCGGATTTCACCAAAGCAGCCAGCTACCCCTTCACTTCTAGGAAGAGGAAAGGTCTTGGATGGATCACATCCTACCCGCTGCTCATCTGGCACAAGTGGCTAAAGTCAGAAGAAATTAGAGCAGCCCTCCTTCAAAGGCCGAACTTCTGCTTAAAGCCCCCTTTTACCATAAAATCAAAAGTTTCTCAAAACCTTTACAATATTTTGATCTTCCCTTGCAAGACCTTCACTCTTCAACTGTAAACATTGTAGAATAGTAAAGAAAACTTAAGTTTTGGCTAGTCAAAGTTTTTCTTGTAAAGAATACCAGTGTAAAAAATGTCTAGCTGCCTTCTGGACCTTAGTGAAGGGCTGGATGAAGCTCATTTCAGATTCTACTAGCCCTGACCCCAGAGATGTCGTTTGCCTCAATAATTCTGCAGGATCCGGAACATCTAGGAGGGATAGAATGCTTTCCAGTGAGGCTGCTTGGCAAGTGTTCTTTCTGGCATTTTTTTTGAACAAGGCAGTTGGGAAGATGGTTTGGGTCAGCAGAAGGCTCTGGTCGCTTACTGCCTTACAGCTGATGTGCAGAACTGCCGGGTTTTGGTAGAGCTTCCAAATGGTTATTCACTTCACAGACTCCGGTTCTCTAGAAAAACTCAAGTCCAGCTAGCTCAAACTTCTCCTCTAGCCTCAAATGACTCTAAACATCTCATTTTTCACCTACCTCCTTCCTCCCTCAAAGGCATGGGCCTGTTCATCTGCTGCTGTTTTTAAGGAGAGAAAGTTGTTTTGTGGTTGTGGTCAGCTATCTTCCCAGATTCATGAACTATAAGGGGATCCTTTACAAATCTGATGCATCAAGACAGGAAGGAAAAGGAGGGTGGCCAGAGTATGTCCACCAGGTCACGCACAGCTCTGCAAAGAATGCATGATTCTGGGGGCTCAGGCTCATGGTGTGGGAAGGCTGTGATCCTGGAAGAGCCTCCTGTCTTAGGAGCTTTAGCCAGAGCTGGGCTGTAATTTTAATTTGCATAGCACTGCAGTACTGTATCCAAGCCAAAATCTCTCATCAACAGGCAAAGTATCTCTGGACCTGAGAAGCCTCTATTACTGCTTATCATGTAAGACAATCGCTGATGGGTGTTCCCAGCCACCAGCAGAACAAGGTCTCTTTGTGTGGTGGCCATCCCTGAGTGGACACAACACATTGGTGTGGCTGTCAACCACTCCAAAGAAGGTTTTGGGGCACCGGGGCCATCACAGGACCCCACCTGTGGTGGGTATGGCCAGAGGTGGCCCAAGCATGACAGCTATGTTGACTGTACAGTGCTGTCAAATAGAAGCAATAAGCTGAAGAGATTTGGGACATACCAAGGGCATAGCCACAGTTGGATGTTATTTAAAGAAGAGCTTTATATCTGCTGACATAGACCAGCCTAGGATGTAGTTCATGTTTTTAAAATAAACTTTCCAGTCCGGCACTATGCCGTTTGTCATGCCTGTAGGGTTTTTTCTTTTGCTGCACGGTCAGTTCTACTGAAAAATATTAAATTCCAGTAAAAGAAGACTCTCCCTTCCTGCTAACAGGCTGCATTTCAAGCTATGTAACCTGTGAGAGTAAAGACTCCTTCAAAACATGGGTAATGCCAGGTCTGCTTCATCAGTTATCTTCAGAACTGTTGGAAATGTGAATGGAGCTTTTACTTGAAAAAGAGGAAGATGTGTCAGTTGATACAGTCACTGTGAACATTAGACAACCAACATGTAGTTTAAGACTCTCCTGAGCCTGACCTGGAGGAGAAAGTCAGTAATAGGGAACAGGAAAGGTTTGTTGATCGCTTTTTGCCATCTGGATCTGGGCAGATACATTCAAGACTGTTCCCACATTTTCCTTGGGGGGAGGCTAATCATTGACATGGTCTCAGTCTCAGGTCTGTCTTCTGCACCTTTCTAAGCAGACATAATTTTCTTAATCACTGGAAGAATATATTCACTGTTCTTCCCCCATGAAAAGAGGCCTGACATCTCTTCAGCTTATAGGCTCTAAATGTGGTTATACTATCAGCACTGGGTGTATTATTTTAGTAACAAAGTATAAACACTCCAGCAAAGTTATGTTTAATAGAAAAATATGATTTCCTGCTTCCTTTGTTATGGTTGTGAGCACACGCTTTTGTTGAATTGGGGTTCTCGAGTCTGATCCTGCTGCTCTGCACCAAAACCCACCTCCATACACAATACGTGCTGTAGGCTGAAAGAATGATGGTTTTTTTTCTGCTGGTGCTTTGCTGAAGTGTTGGCAGGGTGTCATTGAGTGCCCGTCCCAGTGCTGCCGGCCAGCCAAGGTAAGCAGCACACGTGGGAGGAACACAATGAGGACTATTCAAGATGAACTGAGGTTGCTTTCCCTCCTGGGTCACCAAGTAGGTCCAGATCATTCGTTCTTTCCAATAAAATCAAATGGAACAGGATTAAAAAAATGTTAATCTTGTTTAAAATAGCAAACCTTTAGAGATTGGTCTAGTGTTTTTCTGAAGATCCCTTTCTTTGGTGGCTTCTTTGTTTCTTCACATCTTCTCTTGGCACTTCTGATTGGTGGATCTCCTTGGTTAGTCCATTAAAGGATTTAAAAAAACAAATCAGAGGTCTTTAAAAAAGGGTGAAGAATGAGGGCAGCTTTCTCCTCTTGGTTAGGGTATGAGCCCATCAGCTGCTCTTGTTGTTTTCCACAAGAGAGCCTAGGGGTGGGTGTTGAGGAAGTTGCCTCCAGCATCAGGTGCAATTAGCCAGGCTTAGTACCAGTTGTGAGGTCCCAGTTGTGAGACCACAGAATGGCAGGGGTTGGAAGGGACCTTGAGATGGGAGTGGGCATGAGACTGCTTGTCACTCTGCTACCTCATTTATAAAAGTGGGAACACATCATTATAAAAATAGGACTTCACAATGGGGTTTCAGTTTGGTATTTTAAGAGGCAACACAGAGCTGCTTCCAAGCACTATAAACCCATTAGAACCAAGGGAGGGGTGTGTATATATATAAAAAATGCCTAGAGATATGTATTGAGAGATTGCTTATGCTGTTTACAAGATACAGTGTGTATCTCACCAAATTTTTTTTTGTGAAGATGGTGCTTTCTGTCTTTAGCTTATGGTCTGCTGTGTTACATAGCTCTGCAAAGAGCTATTTGACTGGTCACAGGGCTTGGCTTGTACCAACTCAGCCTCCAAGCACGATATAGTGGACACAAGGTGCTTGGTCTTCTGCAGGTCTGCTGCTCTCTACTGCTACTGTATGGTCTTGTCTTCAGAGCTTGCCAGAACTAAAACATGTCCCAGTTTTCCATCCCAGAAGCAGGTAATTCATCCTTTAAGGAGCATTGTGTCCTCTTCTATTGCTTGTGACAATTCCTGTTGGCCAAAAGATGTCCAGGGCCAGAGCTCTCCCCGTTCTGTAGGTATTTAGAATAATTAAGCTGAAGTAAGTTTGTCTTCCTCCACAGAAAGGTGCTGGCTATCATTTGGATTTGTTCTGGGTGGCCATTCTGATGATCGTATGCTCCTTTATGGGTCTGCCTTGGTATGTTGCTGCTACTGTGATCTCCATTGCTCACATTGACAGCTTGAAGATGGAAACGGAAACTTCAGCTCCTGGAGAACAGCCCAAGTTTTTGGGAGTGAGGTATGTCAAACAAGAAAGGCCTTAAATGCCTCATTTGCCTGCAAACGTCAGTTTGTACCATCAATGGTCTTGCGTTGACCAAGACACATGCAGGACAGGGTCAGGAGGTCAGAGGAGGAAACTTGCACTGGAGCTTAGACCGTTTCTCACTCGTGCTTTGGCCATGTGTGTTGAGGTCACCCCAGAATGCACACAAGTTTACAGAGTGAGCTCTGGTGCCCATGAAACACTGCAGAGCTGTGGTGGAGAATTTCTTCATGCTTTCTTCATGTCTCAAATCCCTGCCATGGGATTTAGCAGTCCAGGTCTCTGGCAATTCCTCAGATAAATCCTCATGTAACTCCTCAAAAATTTATTTGGCTAGACCAGACAGAGTCTTCCAGGATTTGAGGAAGGAGATAAATTTACTGCAGATTTCTTTGTGGAAATTAGACAAGCGTTCATTAGCAAACATAATGGTAAAAAAAAAAAGTAACCTTGTCATGCCTAGAGCAATCAGCTCTCCTTAAACCATTTTTTCTGTATTTGGTTGCCTTCATTAGTGGTCCAAAGTGCTTTCAGTAGCAGCTCTTCTAGAAATCAGGCCATGATTAAATAGAAATTTAATGGCCTAACTTTCAGCGCTTTGAAATATTACTGGCAAAAGTATTTTTGGGTGTAGGGAGCGTCTTTAGATGCCAATGAAGGCACAGAGTCAGCACCTCACAAAGGTTATCCAGCTGCTGGAGTACTACGACCAGCACTTAAAACACGCCACTAACCTAAGAGTGGAGAGCTGATTTGTTACCTATTTGCAGGCTCTTGGGTTGCTAGTTAACAGTTTCTAATGTTTAACGTGTAAACACTCCTCCTTACTCAGTAGCAGTACTCTGTTGACCCACAAACAGCAGAGTGAAGGCACCATACCAAAACTGATTTGGTGTTGGAAAAAAGAGGTCTGTGAGGCTTGGGCGGGATCCAGGATACCTGCAGGTTGCTGTTGGTTGGTAATCACCAGTCTGCTTTGAAAACGTGGCTGCAAAACCGAGTTGTCAGGCTTTGTGTTGGGTTTGAGGGGGAATAAAACCCTGAGAGCTGAAGCTATCCTGCTCACCCAGTGATTTTGTTTCAGGGAGCAGAGAGTCACTGGAGTCATTGTTTTCATTCTGACCGGTGTGTCTGTCTTTATGGCTCCCATCCTAAAGGTAAGGACATCACCTTCTCTGCTTCCTTCTCCTCTCACGGACAAAGTAGGGCTGCAGCACCTGTCAGGCTGCTTTTCTGCTGTTAAAAAAGCACTGCAGAGGAGCTGCTGTGTGGAAGACACAGGTTTATGGGAGGATAGGTATTTTCTAAAGTCTGTTTGGATTTATTTGAGTGTATTCATCTTAACACATAACACCTGAAGAAAATCTTCATTTGGTGCTCACTCACGGGCTGTGTGCGTGGCACAATGAGAAGAGGGGTTTCTGGAGAGAGAGAAAACACAAAACAGGTGGCAATGAGTAGAGCCTACAGCTGATGGTATAAGCCCAGGGGAACAGTTTGGGCCAAAAATCTTTGGGACCATTGCCACTGCTGTAGCAGAGCTGTACCCTGCCTGGTACAGCTGCCAAAGCACACACCTCAGCACTGCTGTGCTCCTGCAGCTCGCCTGGATTTTTAAAATCTAAAAAAAAATCAGTGCAACAATCAAAACTTTACTGTCTTGGGCTGTATCCTCCTGAAATGGCACACCCTTATCGCTCAGAAGCAGTGCGCAGCTCAGCAGCACAGAAAACATCTTCCTGGATGAAGCAGTGCAATTAATTTGTTTTCTTCATCTCCTGGATTTTTTTCCTCGTGAGCTTAGCCAGGGCTCTGGCCAGATGTGCTGCTGATGCACCATTTGATCTAGGGAGGTAGCGATTTTCCAGGATGTGAAACTGACTGGCATATAGCCACAGAGAAACGCATCCTTAGTGGCTCATCAGATCATAGGACAAAACTGGAAAACCTTCTCATCCATGAGTTGTGAAGGATACTGTCTTCTGCAGGGATGATGGTTTTAAGTGGCACCATGTGCAGTCAAACAGAAGATGCCAAGCCACAAAAATCTGTCTCCACAGATCTGTAGACCAATGGTCTGAGCAGAAGATGTCAAAACAGTCACATAAATGCTGAAATAGTGGCACCATGCATCATAACTCCATGATGGAGCAGAGGAGGAATGTTTCTGAAGGAGGCAAATGAGTTTTTGGTCATGAGGAGGTTGGAAGCTACAAGTACTGTGAGGCACAGTTAGATGGGAGCCTGAAGGGGAGGAAGCAGGCAGAGAGCAATGATGCTGCCTGTGGAGAAAGCAGAGAAAGTGGCTTTACAAAGTCAGTGTGATCCCATTCTTGATTTCTAAGGTTGTTTTTACAAGCAGTTTTTGGTGTCTTGGTAACAGTTCCCTCCTCTGCACAAACAGGCATTTCCATGGCCTTAATTTAATACTTGATTGTAATAATTCTGTTTGTTAGTTCATGTGACCTTTCCCTGCAAGTTCTCTTTTCCTCTATTCCACTGGGGTCTATTACTTCCCCCGTGATTGCCTCATTCCTCCATTATTTACCCGTGCTTCCCCTCGGAAGGCCGATGGGGAAGGTCCTCTCGGGAGGCCGCCTGAGGAGAAACCAGCACGCTCCTCGCCCACATGCCAGCGAGAAGGACCTGGCAGCATGTCAGGACCTTTAACAAACTCCAGTGGCAGGATCTCCTGCTCAAGAGCTGCTTTGCTAAACGCATTGCAGAACACTTAATTCTTCTCATGCCAGCAGCAAATTGAACACTCACGATCCCAAATGCAATAAAACGGGCAATCCACAGAGTCATCTCATCTTTGTTTCTTGTGGCTTTTGCGGTGTTTGTGCTGGTTTTGAATGTCACTGAAGTTTCTGCTTGGTTACAGCAGATCTCCACAGAAACATCCTAGGCCCTGCTAGGAGAATGACAGGCACTTTCCTATAAATACATTTTTAGTTCTGTTGGCTAGCAGCAGGTTTGCTCGGGGTGCCGAAGCCAGCAACCCCACAGTTAGTGGATAGTTTTCCGAAAGAAAGTCTTCCAAAATGAACTGCTTGCTGCTCTGCAGGATAATGTACTGAAGTTTCACCTAGGGATGGTTCATGGGATTGATTATTGTGGAAATAATATTTGGATGTTCTTTCTTTTTTTTTTGGAAAAGCAGAAAGAAATAAAAGGGGAGGG